GGAAAGGGGGAATCCCCCTTTTATCCCCTCAGTCCAATGCTTTTCTGGGGTTTTCTTTTTCTTCCTGTTTCTTAAAGCCACTAGGACAGCTTGAGAGTGTCACTGGAGCCCTGTCTCGCAAAATACGTCCAAGAGCTCTTTCTTCACTCTTTTAAAACTTCCCTAAAGGCCAAACTTTACTTACAGGCCAACAAGGGTTGCAACAGCCTTGAGGGGGATTTTTTTCCATAAACTTTCCCTTACCCCACATTTCAAAAAAACTCCTTTTTTTTCTGGAAAGGGACCTTCATCCTCTCTCTTCCTCCTTGCAGCAAGATTTTGAGCTCGATCTGTTGCCTTCCTGCTGAAGCCTGCAGCCCTCTGGAGCCTTCGTTGTGGTCTTCCACAGCCTCCAAACCACTCCAACCCCATGGAACCCCCCCAGTGCCCCCAATAGTTTAACAACAGACAAGGGTCATCAGGGGGCAGCCCCAAACCCCCAAAAACCCTCTTTTGACACAATCTGGCCCCCAATTTTTTTCCCAACAATTTAAAGTCCTGGGGTCACTCCCTCCCAACGTCCTATAAGGGTTATGCAAAGGAGGGGTCTGAAGTGTTTTTTTTCCAAAAATCTCTTTGGGCAAGGGGTGTCGAAGGGCACATTCAAGCACCTTTTAAAAAAATTGCTTTGGGGTAAGTTTTTTTAAATTTGCAATACCGGGCTATGGGGTGGGGGAGAGGATGGTTTTTTGGGGGGAAGAATTTAAATGGATAACCCAAACTCCTCCAAAATTATCATCCAATTTGGGGGATGAGCAGGGCATTGTCCATTACTAGGAGGCACTTGAGATCCAATTTCTTTTTTCCCGGGGGTAATTCTTCACACTAGGGGGAAACACTTCACGAAACCCCTCGCGAAAATTTCCCCGTGACCCATGCCCTACTATTAATTTTCCAAAAAAACACACTTTACTCTTCATAACATTGTTTTTCCTGAACACCTGGGATTTTCAAATGGTACCTAGTAAACTTTTACTTTGAAATCCCCCCTACATTAGCACAGAACATGAGCATCACCTTTCTTCATAGGGTTGTGTCCGGCAGTGCCTTTTCCTACGTTAAGTAGGTCCTTTTGGCATTTTCTTCCCCAAAAAAGGCCGTTTCGTCACAATTTAAACTTGTTCAGGTTTCAGTCCTTCAGCCTCTATGTACTCCTTGAAAATTTTCACAATTTTTTTACCGCTTTGTTCCGAACGCACCTCACCATGCCCTTTTACACTATGATCCACTATGCTTCTTAAAACTCTCAAAACCCAAACCTTTTTTTGGGGCCCTTTAAAATTTATCACATCATCACTAGTTTCAGCATTTTTAATTAAACCTGTGCAACTCCCAGCCTTTTTACTTATGATCACTTGAAGGGTCTATCTCCTGCATCTGTTTTTTTTATCCACACCAATAAGAGTCTCTCAACATCTTCATCACTTCATCCTGTTCGAAAAAACAGTTAATCTTTTGGGAAAAAAACTTCCTTTATTTCCCTTTTTTTTGGGCACAAAAATACGTGGGGTTTATTGGGGTTTACTATACAGCCTGCCACCGGGGCTGTACTCCACTTTCATACTTACAAGTCCTTTCTTCACCTATATTATTCTCACCCTTTCTCCTGTAGGGGTTGGGCCCAGAAGCTTCTTGGGCCCATGGTCACTTTTTTTGCAGATAAAATCACCCAAAAAAGCTGTACATGGACCCCCCCCGGGGTTCGAGGGATCGGTATTTAAAAAATCTGATTTTATGCATTATATCGCAAAAATTTTCCTCGGGATTTGATAAGATTCTACGAGCCTGTCCACATGTGGCCTGAACTGCCCCCCTTTGGGTTCCAGTGTTTTCAACCAGCCGTGTGCGCCACTAAGATACTTCGGTACATTCCCAAATTTTCCATATTATCCTGTGTTTGGTGTTTGTTTTTTGCAAATAAGTCACCATGGGCCCCAAGAAACTTCTATCCAAACCCCGTGGGAAAAAGGGGAAATTAAGTATGGAAAATTAAAAGATTTGAAGGGTTTGGGCTAACCCTAGAACCTATACATTTGGGAAACATTGTCCCACTTCAAAAAATTTAAGGGAAAAGTTGCACGTGGGTTGAAGTAAACCTTATGGGGTGAAAAACCCCAAAAACAGCTATTACAAGAAATGTTGGGCCCATTTTGACAAATCCCAAAGGGAAAGGAGGTACAAGCCTATGGACAATTTGTTTTGCGACAAGGTCCCTGACCCTCAAGCTGGGCCTATGGCATTAAAAAAAGAAAGGAATAATCCTGGAAAAGGACTTGCACCTCAAGTCCAATGGAAGGGGGTTTCCCTTCTAAAACACTAACACCTCTCCCTCCTTTCATCCCATCAATTTATCAACAATCTTCATTAAAGGGAAGTGTCAATTAATTTTTTTGTTTTTGTAATTATTTTATTGCATTAAAAAAATATTTCATTGTAAATTTTTTTTTTTTTATACTTTTGAGTGTCTTCACGGGGTTAATTTTATTTTATTATTTCTTATGAGGAAAATTATTTGGTTTTCGATATTATCAGTTTTCGATAGCTCTCAGAACGGATTAATATTGAAAACCGGGGTCCACGGAAAAATGAACCGATTTAGCTTGGGTTTACCCCCCGGAGGGTGGGTGTAAACAATGTCACCCCCCCGGAACTGTAGGTGGCTAGGGCCCCAATTTGACCTCCGGACAATAGCGTTAGCGGGTTTTTTTTTTGCGGTAAACGAGGCAAAATCTTAACATAAAAAGGGACGGGATCAATTTTAAAGTTATTGATGCCAACGAGCGGGGGGCCACTGTATACAAAATTAAAAAAAAAAAAATGTAAAGTAACACAACATTCCCGCAAGCAGCAGACTCCGTGTTTCTGCAATGAGTGTCAGCACCAACTTTGGGGGCCCTTTCTTTTCTTATATCTCGGGAAAACGACCCCAAATTTTTTTTTTTTTTTTGGGCTTATTCACGAGAAATTTGCCCTCTTCCTTTAAAAAAAAATTTTTTTTTTTTTCTTTCCAAAAAATTTGGAGCCTATCATGAAAAAAAGCCAGCGTTAGAAAAGTTCAAGGGGTTTGGCTTCGACAGCCCCCTGGCCACATAACCTCACAGCCCATTATCGGGCTTTTTTTTTTTCGAGGCTGTGGTCCATTTCCCCCTTTAAGACTTCACATTGCTCCACACTATTTCGAATCTGACAGTATAGGCTGAAGACCTTGGGCCTGTGAAATTGACACACCTTCATTGGACCTCTGCTTTTCAGGGGGTCTTTTTTAAAACTTTCCCCAAAAATCCTTCACTCAATTATGTTAAATTTGGGACTGGGCCTTTCAAGTTTTTTAAATTTTATGTATTAAAGGTGGGCCACCAAATTCCCCCAATTAGTAATCGGGTTCCCATCAAAAACCCAACAAATTTTTTGGCTACCCATAATTTTTTAAATTTCCGCGTTGCCCACCAACCGGGTCGTTATGTTTGGGGGCGCTATTTGCGGCTTGAGTCATTCCAATTTCTTTTTCTCCTTCATTGTTATACCCCGCCCCTTTTTACCCCTACCCAGGTTCTAACAAATAAAAGAAATGCTTTATTGTGAAACCCACTTTACACCACATACCAAAAAAAGTGGTTTTTAAAAGCCCCCTGTGGGTCCCCATGAGCTCACTCATTAAGATGAGCTGTGACCAAAAATTTTTCAGCTACACATGAAGAATGGGTCGGTGTGGTAAATGTAAAATATAAAAAAAATCCGGGGGGAAAGCCCCCCATGCATAATAAAGAAAAAATGGCAACTGTTTTTTGATTTTAAAAACACGACTTTTTGCGATGTATTTTCATAATATTTGTATGGTTGTATTTCTTGCTTTTTGGTCTCATTTTTTAAAAATTGGAAGAAAATTTTTACAGAAATTAATACAATAATTATTACAATAATTCATAGTCTCTAACATAAATCTTTTTATTTTTTGTTTGAATAAAAATTTTAAAAATTAAACAAGGGGAAAATAAGAGGGGCCTGGGATGTGACTAATGAACAGAAAAAAAATTTTTTTAGTGCCCGGGAAATTTTTCACTGCTTATTCTGGACCCTAGTTTGAAACTGGCATTTCTTGAAATTTTGGGGTAAAATTGGCCAAATTACCGATTCCTGACCATTTTAAATTCGGTAGTTGAAATACGTAAATGGGCGGTTTCTTGTTTTAAATTTGACAGAATAGAAGAAATACTAGCGAAACAGCTATGAGTTTGGTAGACTGGAACAATGGAATGGGCCAAAAATAGGGCCTAAAGTGGGTGAAATCGCTGATGCATAAATATCACCACTGGGTTAAGTGTATTCTAACCTAACCACTCTGTAATCCAACAAAAATCACTAATCCAGCACCCTACAATCCTGATGATGCGGGAAATTAGTGATGGTCAGTCTGTACTAGGTATCTTAATCTTTTTTTTTTTTGCTCTAGGAAATGCATTTTAAGCATTCTGAGGCATTCTTAGTAGTGTATACGTATACTGTACTGGCTCTGTGGGTAGTAAACAAAAATTTCTGTACATCTTCCAGCTCTGCCTCTGAACAGAACCATGAACAATTTTCCAGACATGACGCATAAGTTATTTGAATAGTATCACCAATGGAATCACTTCTCTTGTTTAGAAAATTCTCATATTCCACCCTGCTCTTTTTCTGGCCTTCGCAGCATTCACTTTATAATCTTTAAATGACAGAGCATCCAACATTATCATACCTAAGTTTCTTACATGTAACTTTCATTATATGAGAGATCCTCCTGTACATTATATCCAGTGCTAATTTGAGCTCTTCCTTCTTTCCATACTTAGCAGCTGGAATCTGTTACCACTTAACCCATGTTAGTAGGAAACAACCAAAATGGTAAAAAGGCATTTACATATGAAATATTCATATTTTGTGATACTGAGACTAGGTTTAATATACAGCATGATTAAGTTTTTTACCTGTACATGAGTAGTATTTGCACCAACTAAATTTAGAGAAGCCTGAAGAGAGTGTACTTTTTCCCGAGCACTTTCTAACAACTGCTCAACTGCTCCCGCTCATCCAAAAGATGTTGTTTCTCTGACTCAAGCTGTAATCCTTGACTCTTTTCCTGCATCTAATAATGGAAAAAATGTATTGTTTAGCTTGGATAACTGAAAATTTAATTAAAATTACTAATACAAAAAATTATGAATGCTTCTTGAATTATGGTAAATATTAATTAATATACAATACTATATAAAAATAAAGTAATTATATTGCATGAAATGTAAAGCTGAGTACTCAGCTAAGAGTTTAAAGCCAGTCTGCAGATGCATTAAAAGAAAACTTTAGGTTTTTATACAGTCATAAACTGATGATTTAAAATTGATCACTCTTCTATATATGTACAGCAGAGTATCAGTGGAATAATCTGAAATGCTTAGGATCAAGCCATGTCCATATTACTGATCCTTCTGGAGTGCTACATTTTACAGTACAATAAATCCTCAATTTAACGAATTTAGGATTTGAAGGGGATAATAAAGATGAACAATGTCCACTGTTTCCAGAATTGTGCATTTTTGTTACACTCTGCTGGGTAAACTGATTTAGGAAACAGTCTGTTGTCATGAGAATAGTCTGTTATTTATTTGATCATGACAAAACAATCTTATTATTCAGATCTAACAGACAATCTGCATTACCAGATGCCTCTCTCCCTATTAGTCCATTAAATCAAAGGTTTGTTGTCCATGTAACAGCACCACACTACAGTACATGTAGGAGTATCACACAAAATATACATGTACAGTAAAAATTTAAAATTAATTAAACTGTGATTGAACAATTAATCCAGTTTATCTACACATACAAAGAGCAATATATTAAGTGAAACATAAAATTCACTTCAAACAAACGAACAAAGTTTATTTCTTTGCAAGGTTACATTGAGGTTATGAAATTACAATAATGGGGTACAGTGAAAAGAGAGCTACTATCATGCCTAGGCATTATGGGCAGACTTAATTTAATGTCTTACATACTACCTAATACTAAAGAAATTTATCATTGTTTGTTTAAGTTATACAAGTACATCTTCTTTGTTTATAGCAGACAGTACTTTTACCCCAATTACAATAGTTTCAATAATGAATATTGAAATTAAATTATGGGAATATAACATTGCGAGTTGTTGAAAGTTAACAGTATAAGAATGCTACAACTGATTGTAAGGCAGTATTGTTTTAGGTAGGTATTTATACTACAAAGTAGGATTAATAATGTATGAACTTTGGGCATCTTGATTTGAAGTTTTAAGATTTGGATACTTTTTAATAAAGTTAAATACTGAGTATTGAGTATTTAGTTTAGGGTGAGTAGGTGGTTTTTGAGAAGAGCCTTAAACTGGTGTTCAGACCTGGTTACTTTAGTATTTACTGGTAATGAATTCCAAGAGTGATGAGATGGCAGATTACAAATTTCATGGACCAGCACAACTGGCATAACCCAAACCAGCATGGTCTTAGAGCAGGACAATCATGCCTGTCATAGCTGCTGAACCACTATGACAGAATTACAAAGGAGTTGGGAGGCTACTAAAACCAGATGTGATTTACACAGATTTTACAAAGGCATTTGATAAATGCAATCATGAAGTGATAGCACACAAAATGAGGGCCACAGGCATTACAGGGAAGGTAGGCAGATGGATTATCAGGTTCTTAATACAAAGAACACAAAAAGTAGTAGTAACCAAAGCAAAATCCAACACGGGTGAGTAAAAAGCCAGCTTCCCAAGGCATTGCCCCAGGCACCTCTGCTGTTTCTCATCCTCATAGCAGACATAGATAAAAACACCCATCACAGTTTTGTATCATTTGCAGATGACACTAAAATAAGCATGAAAGTCACTATGGTAGAAGACACTGAAAAATTACAGGAGGATAAAACCAGGGTTTTCCAGTGGGCAGTGGAAAACAATATGACATTCAATGGTGATAAGTTCCAGCTGCTAAGGTATGGAAAGAATGAAGAACTTAAACGAAACACTGCACGTATACAGAACTCAAGAGGATCACCAAATAGAACGAAAGAAACAAGAAAAGAACTTGGGAATAATTATGTTCTTTAAAAGAAAGGCCCAGCTAAGACAAAGCTCAAATGACCCAATGGTCAACTGGTATATAATGAACATGACAGAAAATAATAGTAAATGACTGATAGTCTACCACCCCAAGCAGCAACTAACCACAGAATATAGTAAACCAAAATGTACCTGGTCAGAGCAGCTGCAACCACTGCTATATTAGAGGGTAACAGTCATGTTTCTGGGAAACATAAAATATTAACCCTTTCAGGTCGACAGGGCCCCCTCAGAGACTTGTTCTCAGGGTTTCCCAAATTTCAAAAAAAAAAAAAAAAAAATTTTTTCTTATGAAAAGATAGAGAATCGTTTCCCAATCATAATGACACCCAAAAATATGAAATTTGATGGAAAAACTTACGGAATTATGCTCTTGTGAAGTTAGCGGTCTCAATGATGTTTACGCATCGGCGATTTTGCCCACTTTGAGCCCTATTTTCATCCAATTTCCCGTGTACTTTTCGACAAAAATCATTTAAATATTTCGCTAGAACTCCATTTTTTTCTATCGAATGAGTACAAGAAAACCCCCCATTTACCGATTTCAACTATCCAATACGGTGGTCAGAATTTTGCAATTTTGCCAATTTCACACAAATTTCAAAAGATGCCAATTTCCGAATATGGTCCCGAATAAACAAAAAGACATTCCTGGCACTAAAATAACATTTCCTTGTTCATTAGTCATGTCCCCATGCCCCTCTTACATTCTTTTGCTTTCCCCTTTGAATTTTTATTCTCACAAAAAATAGAAGATTTACTGTTATGCGACTACTGCATTGGTGTAGAAAAAGGTAATAAATATTATCACACACTTGTGAAAGAATATTAGACTCGCCAGTTGACGTGTATTGGACGCATAGCATGATTTGTTTACTTTTGAACTTTGGTAAAAATCGAACATTTCTGCTACTTTGAGCGCAATTTCAAGGTAGTTTTCTTTGTAAAACCAGTCAAAATCATCTCAATTTCTGTAATATATCTTCCATTCTATAAAATGAGACTGGGAAAACTAGAATACAATAATAAATACCATACGAAAATACAGTGCAAAGTCGCTGTTTTAATCAAAAAACACGGTCAGAGTTTTTTTTCTCATTAGGCACTGTGCTGCAGGATTTTTTTTACACCATGCACACTGACCACGTAGACCCATTCTTTCATATGTAGGCCTACCAGCTTTCTCTCACTAGATTTGAGGGCGCTAGAATTTAGGCGTACTAGTACGTCAAAAACCCTGGTGCATAAGCCGTTCTAGTATGGCCGAAACCCTGAAAGGGTTAACTACAAAACTCTTTTAGAACTACAGTGGAACCCTGGATTTTGTCCAGTACAGATATCGTACAATTCGGATTTCAACCATTTTTTTGGGGTGAAATTTTACCCTGGGTTTCATACCTTCGCTTGGAAATCGTCCATATTAGACATGTCTGCCCGCCCGGGACGCGGCTGCTCACACATATGTGACTCAATCTGCTTTTGTCACTTGTTCACTGAGCAATACTCCACGTGTTCATCCAAAACATTTCATAATAATCCATTGTTTTTTGTGCTTGCTTATTGAATGCGACTGCTAAATAAGCCACCATGGGGCGAAAGAAAATTCAGAGTGCCAGCCTTTTGATAAAGAGCACAAGAAACAGGATATAATTCAATGGTGGTAGAGGGTGGTAGTGATAGTGGTAGAGGGTAGTAGTGATTGTGATAGAGGGTGGTAGTGATGGTGGTAGAGATAACCTCTCCTCTCTCTCCCCACCTTGCCTTCTTCCATAACCCAACAGAAGTCTTCACTAAATAATAATAATAATAATTTTATTTCTTTGTAAAGGTTACAATGTGTAATTACAATTTTGATTTGCTAAGTACAAAGATAGCCACTATCATGCCGAGGCATTTCAGGCAAACTAATCCTAGTACATAGTAACTAATTAAAACTAGATAAGAGAATAGTACATAGTAATTATACTTAAAACTAAACATGGAATTGTGGTTAGTTGTTTTACAATCTTATTTGGACTTAATAAATCTTATTTATACTTAGTACAAAATCTAATTTACTAGGAATGGTGCAGGTGGTAATATTTTATGGAATAGCAGAATTAAAAGCCAGGTGGTCACATGATAAAACTAGTCAGTAGATGTTTGGTTGATCTGGTTAATATTGTGAGATAAGATGATTTTTTAGCAGAGTCCTAAATTTATAAGCTGTCTGGGAATCCTTGACCTGTTCCGGTAGCGAGTTCCAGATCTTCGGGCCTTTTATGTGCATAGCGTTCTTGCATAGTGAGGGTCTTACTCGAGGGATGTTAAAAAGTACCTTATGCCTTGTATTGTGACTGTCCATTCTGTTGTAACTGTCGAGGAGTAGTTTTAGGGGAGGGTTTACAGTGGAGTTTAAAGATCTGTATATGTAGCAGGCACAATAATAAGAGTGTATGTCTTGTATATTTAGCAAATTGAGTCTTTTGAAAAGTGGTGGGGTGTGCTGTCTAGCACAGGAGCTGGTTATCACCCGCACAGCAGCTTTTTGTTGGATTATTAAACCCCTTTTAGGGTCGACAGGCCCTCTCCAAAACTCGTTCTCAGGGTCGGCCAAATTTTAAAAAAAAAAAAAAATTATTTTCTCTTATGAAAAGATAGAGAATCTTTTCCCGATCATAAAGACACCAAAAGTTTGAAATTTGATAGAAAACTTACGGAATTATGCTCTCGCAAAGTTAGCGGTCTCGGCGATGTTTACGCATCGGCGATTTTGCCCACTTTGAGCCCCATTTTCGGCCAATTTCACTGTACTAGTCGACAAAAAACATGAATATTTCGCTAGAACTCCATTTTTTCTATCGAATGGGTGCAAGAAACCACCCATTTATGAAATTCAACTATCCAGTACAGTGGTCAGAATTTAGCAATTTTGCCAATTTCATACAAATTTCAAAAGATGCCAATTTCCGAATAGGGTCCAGAATAAACAAGAAAGACATTCCT